AAGGCTGCACGAGCACAGGACGGGGCGGCGTGAAGGACGGCGGCAACACGGCGTCCTCCTCCTCGTCCTCCTCTGTCTCCTCCTCCTCCTCCTCCTCCTCCTCCTCCTCCTCCTCCTCATTCTCCTCCTCTTCTGAACCCTCCTCATACTACTTCGCGTAATCCTTCTCCTCCTCCAGCTCCTACTTCTCCTCGTCAAAATCTACAACAGCATGTTTATCGTCATCCGAATCACCAACATCACCACCACCACCGCCATCCTCCTCCTCCTCCTCCTCCTCCTCCTCCTCATCATCATCATCATCATCATCATCATCATCATCACCATCACCATCACCATCATCATCATCATCATCATCATCATCATCATCATCATCATCATCATCACCATCATCACACTACAACCATTATCATCATGTTTGTCGTCCTCGCCACTATCATGGCATTACGACGATGCATCTGCAGTAACGTACTCAACGTCAACAGCATCACCATCATCAGCAACAGACACCAACAATCAAGAACACCATCATCACCATCATCATCACCACCATCATCGTAATCATCACCATAATCAACATCATCATTCGAACCGTCATCATTATAATCGTCGTTGCCGTCGTCGTCATCATCATCACAATCATCATGATCATTATCATCAGCAGCAGCTGCATAATCAGCATCATCAGCAGCAGCAGCAGCATCATCGTCAGCATCAGAAACAGCATCAGCATCAACATCATCATCACCGTCGAGTGAAAGCGCGTTTCGCGGGCGCTTGCTTGGAAAACTATGCTCTGCCACCCATCCATCGCCCCCCAAAGAGGGGGGGCAAAGTCCCCCTCCCGGGTTCGAACCCAGGGGGGGGGGTCGGAGGTTGGGGGGTGAGATCGCGGTGAATCGGAGACCCCCACCGGGAAATCGGTTGCGGTTTCGTGTTCGTGTCGTGCGTGCGGGCGAGGCGAAGCTGCGCGTGATCCTCCTGTGGCTAGGCCGAAGTAGGAGCGAAAGTCCGTTCCCGTCCGCCGGTGGCTGGGAGGTGTCCCAGTTGGGCCAGGCGTAGTCCCGGGTGTCCCGGGTGTCAGTAGGAGCGAAAGTCCGTTTCCCGTCCGCCGGTTGCCAGGAGGTGTCCCAGTTGGGCCGGGCGGTGTCCCCGGTGTCCCGGGTGTCCCGGGCGTCCCGGCGCTAACGCATGTCGCTAATCCCACCAGCCCTCTGGGCGTCGGTGGTTTAGAGCGTTTCCTCTTCCACCCCTCCTTCTTCCCCTTCGGGGAGGGGTTTACCCCTCCCCCTACCCCCTCCCCACTGACCTGGACAAGGGGGGCGGGGAGCGGTCAGAGCGTCCAAAACGGCCTCGCCGAGGAAGCCAAAATCATTGATTTTACTAAGGTTTTGGCCCCATTTTGGCCCCCAGAGGGGGCAGCACTAATTGAAGCTCCCCTCTTCTTTGATCGATTTCCTCCAAGATGGCCCCAAGAAGCGCCCAGGAGGCACCAAGAGGCCCCAAGATGGCCCCAAGATGGCCCCAAGAGGCCCCCAGGAGGCCCCCAAGAGGATCCCAAACGGCCCAAAGAGGCCCCCCCGAGGCACCCAAGACGCCGAAAAGCCCCTCAGGACGACCCTCTACTCGCCTGGGCGTCGTTTCTGGACGGGCTGGTGGGGATACGCGAAGCGTCTAGAATTTCATATTTCATGTTTTTCGGCGCCTGCGGCGGGCTTTCTTATCCAATCCAGCTTATCTGATCCAATCCATCATGTCCAATCCAATCCATCTTACCTTATCCAACCCATCTTGTCCCATCTTATCTTATCCCACCCAATCCAATCCACCCAACCCAATCCGTCAATTCATTCGTTTCTGCGCCTGCGGCGGGCCAATCCAGTCCATCTTATCTTATCCAATCCATTTCTTCCAATCCAACCCATCTTATCTTATCCAATCCATCTTGTCCCATCAAATCCAGTCCACCCAACCCAATCCATCAATTCATTTTTGTCGGCGCCTGCGGCGGGCTTTCTTATCTAATCCAGCTAATCTGATCCAATCCATATTGTCCAATCCAATACATCCTATCTTATCCAACCCATCTTGTCCCATCCTATCTTATCCCATCCAATCCAATCCATCCAACCCAATCCATCAATTCATTTGTTTCTGCGCCTGCGGCGGGCCAATCCAATCCATGTGAGAGGGAGAGAGAGAGAGAGAGAGAGAGGGCGAGAGAGAGAGAGAGAGACACAGAGAGAGAGAGAGACAGAGAAAAAGAGAGAGATGAGATCAAGGTGACAGGCTGGAGGTCAGTCAGGGTGGGCATCTGATCTCAATCCCCCCACCACCCTCCTTATCGCCCGCAGGGCGGTCGTATAGGTATATGACCTCTCCTCCTCGGAAGGGGGGGGAGAAACAAGACGACGACGACGACGAAGACGAGAGCTCGAAAGCGACGACGACGAGGACGCGCCGACGACGACGCCGACGTCGACGCCGACGCCGAGGCCGACGCCAACGTCAACTCCGACGCCGACGCCGACGCCGACGCCGACGCCGACGCAGACGCCGAGGACGACGACGACGACGCCGAGCACGATGCCGATAACGCCGACACCGAGCACGACGCCGACGCCGACGCCGACGACGCCGACGCCCACGCAGACGCCGACGACGACGACGAAGACGACGACGACGAAGACGACGCCGAAGCCGAAACCGACGACGACGACGGCGACCCGAGCACGACGACGAGCAAGACGCCGAGCACGACAACGACAACGACGCCGACGCCGACGCCGACGCCAGCGCCGACGCCGACGCCGATGCCGATGCCGACGACGACGACGACGCCGACGCCGACGAAGAGCACGACGCCAAGCACGACGCCGAGCACGACGACGACGCCGACGACGACGCCGCCGACAATGACGACGACGCCGACGCCGTCGCCGACGCCGACACCCACGCCGACGCCAACGCCAACGACGACGCCGACGCCGCCACCGCCGCCGACCACGACACCGAGCATGACGCCGAGCACGACTCCGACGCCGACGCCAACGCCAACGCCGACGACGACGCCGAGCACGACGCCAGCGCCGATGCCAAGCACGACGCCGACGCCGACGCCGCCGACGACGCCGACGCCGCCGACGCTGATGCCGACGCCGACGACGACCACGACGACGCAGACGCCGCCAACGCCGCCGACCACGACATCGAGCACGACGCCGTCGCCGACGATGACGACGACGACGACGATGACGAAAACGACGACGACGACGAAAGCGACGACGGCGACGAGCACGACGACGACGCAGACGCCTTCGACGGCGACGACGACGACGACGACGCCGACGCCGAGCACGATGCTGACAACGCCGACGCCAGCGCCGACGCCGACGCAGACGCCGACGACAACGACGACGACGACGACGACGACGACGACGCCGGCAACGACGCCGAGCACGACGCCGACGCCGACACCGACGCTGGCGAGCACGACGACGACGACGACGACGACGACGACGACGAGCACGACGCCGAGCACGACGCCGAGCACGACGCCGAGCACGACGCCGAGCACGACGCCGAGCACGACGCCGACGCCGACACCGACGTCGGCGCCAACGCCGACGCCGACGCCGACGCCGACGCCGCCGCCGACGATGACGATGACGACGCCGCCTAGCAAGACGCCGAACACGACGCAGACGACGCCGACGCCGACGCCGAATGCGACACCAACGCCGACGCCGACGCAGACGCCGACGCCGACCAGGTCGAGCAGGACGCCAACAACGACGCCGACGCCGACAACGACGCCGACGCCGATGCCGACAACGACGACGAGGACGACGACGACGACGACGACGACAACGATGACGCCCACGACGACGACGACGACGACGACGACGACGACGACGACGACGACGACGACGAAGCTTGCGCCGACGCCGCCGACGCCGACGCCGACGCCATGCCAACCACGACGACAACGCCGACGCCGCACGACGCCGACGACGACGACGCCGACAACGACGCCGAGCATGACGCCTCGTCGCCCCTCCCCCCCGGTTTCGAACCTGGGGGGGCGGGGGGGGACATTTCCCCCCCCCTGGGTTCCGAACCTGGAAGGGAACCTAGAAGCGACCACAAAAAGCGCTCTGTCTCAACATCAGCATCATCGTCATCATCACCACCATCATCATTATCATCATCATCAGCAGCATCATCACCACCATCACCACCACCACCACCACCACCATCATCATCATCATCATCATCATCATCATCATCACCACCACCACCACCACCACCGCCATCATCATCATCATCATCATCATTGTTCCTACTCCTCCTCCTTGCCTCCTCCTCCTCCTCCTTTCCTCCTCCTCCTCCTCCTCGGCCTCCTCCTCCTTCTGCTCCTCCTCCTTTGCTTCCTCTTCCTCCTGGACCTCCTCCTCCTCATCATCATCATCATCATCATCATCATCATCATCATCATCATCATCATCCCTCTTCCCTCCTCATTGGTCTAGAACTCATATGTACAATCCTCGTCTTTCAGTAGAAGAACAGAAACTGCACACACATAGACTTTCGGAGATCCCCGCGGACTTCTTGCATCGGAACTGCCTCCGCCTCTCACCGGCGCGCGAATCCCGCCAAGGGGGGATGCTGACCGACGATGCAACGCCTGCTAGTATGTATCCGCTTCATGGCCAAGCACGCGTGCCCAATCCAGCAACACTGGCCCATCGTCCACCGCAAGCCCAACTCGATCGCAACGGTCGCCTCGTTTGCACAGCGGTTTCATGTTGCCTGTCGCCCTTGCTTTATCGCCGACCTCGCTCGAGCCTCGAAGGCCCCATCGACCTCTTGGCCCCGAGCCCCCACGGCTTCCACACTGCCTCCCCGGCGACTTCTGCCCATCCTCACGCCTTGCCGCACTGGTGTGACACGCGTGTTCCTCCCCCCGCCCCCCCACATCAAGCTGGCACCCGCGTGGCCTGCTGAGCCCAGCCTTCCCCGCCGCAGCCGCTGTCAACCGCAGCAGTGTGGCTTGAGGCATGACTTTGCAGCTTCATCGTAGCAATCGCATGCTGAGCTGGGGCGCGCGCCAGGGGAAGCGGGGTCAGGAAACAAAGCGACGAGAAATGTCGTGGAAGCGGGGGGGGGTGAAACTGAGACCGTGCGGGGAACACGTTGCGACAGGCATGTCAGAGCGAGCCTAGTTGAATGCCGTGGACGATGATCATGCTGCTATGGGACGAGGAATGGGAGGGGACGTAACCCGTTGACTCGCCCGAGTCTTCCATCTCTACCCAAGTATCCACGCTGTCACATGCACATACGCATAATTCCGTACACGCGCATACACACGCACACACACACACACACACACACACACACACACACACACACACACATATATATATATATATATATATATATATATATACACACATGCATCTTTATGCCAACGCACAAACGTAAGAACGGGCTACCCGGCCGCCCCTGCTAGCGAGGAGGCCGAGGAAACAGAGGAAGATGGTGAGGACGAGGTGGGGCGCTCATGGGCCTCATGAACGGCAGCGTCTGGTAGCCCGCCAGTTCAGGCGCGGACCCCTGAGTGCAGAGAGCAAAACCCGGTGCGAACTGAACCCCTACAGGGTGCTGAAATGTCGCGCGCACGGGCAATCGGGCCACCGACCTCCATGTCGAAAGCAGTGTTTTTCGCAGTCGGCGTCATCACGAGGAGTGGTTTGTCGAGTTGGAGGGGACATGAAAAAGGGGAGGATGAGAAGAATGAATGTTGATGGTGGCTGCGGGTGTGATGATGATGATAATCATGGAAATGAAGATGAAGATGAGGATGCGGATAGGGATGATAATGGTAATGATGCTGCTGCTGCTGCTGCTGATGATGATGATGATGATGATGATGATGATGATGATGATGATGATGATGATGATGATGATGGTGATGGTGATGATGCGAATGATGATGATGACCCCGACGATGAACCTGATGATAATGTCGGTGCTTCATTCAGCGCCGTTAGCCCCTTTACGTTGTCTCTGGTGTTGGCGTGGCTGCGTGGGCTCTCTCGCCTGTAACACTCCAGCCACGCGTCGCGATCAAAATAATGAAGGACTCCTCCAGCCCTCTAGCCCCGCCTGGAACTCCTCGTCCACTAAATCTCCGCGGCGGCGGGCGGCTCTCAAAACCGAGGCGTCCTGCAGTCAAGGCACGGCGGCGGGGTCGCACCCCGGGGCGGATCTGCCCCGCGGAGCGGCCCGCCGACAGAGTCGCGAGTGACGGCTGGGTGGAGGACATTGCTAGTCGAGCCTCGCACGCAAACGATCACGCAACCACTCACTCGCGATGGGCATGTTCCAGCGGGCCCTTCCCGGCTTCCCCGCGCGATCCCCACAGACAAGATGCTCCCCAAAAACTGCCAAGGACACGCGAGCCAGCGCAGGAGGAGAACGCGCTAGACCAGATGAGGAGGTAGGAAGATGGGCAAGCGACCTCAAGGTAGCAGAGCTCACTTGCTCACAGGATTGCGTCGTTAATCCTGCAACTCGCATTCACGGAAACTCGCAGGCGCCCTGCCCTGCGTCCCCCGCATCCACGAGGTGAAAGCACGGTCCGATCGCGGCTGGCCTCCACCCCTCGTTGCGGATCACAAACGGGGCCCTTCTCTGACTGCCTACCAGACCACCCCAACCCAACCCGAAGACCCGAATTTGACCCGAATTTCGGGTTGGGGGGGGTACGGGTTTCATGTGTTTTTTCAATGTTCCCCGCCCCATCCCAACCGGAAATGGAGGGCAAATTGAAGCCTTCGGGTTGGGTTGGGGTGGTTTGGTGAGTGGTGATTCTCTGATATGTGTCGCAGGCCGCGTCACTCGGCTCATTCGGGTGACCTCCACCTTGTCCTCCGCGTCGCGCCCCCCCACCCACGGGCAAGTCATCGCGATGCTTCCGGCTTCACGGGCGCCCGTCGCGCCCCCCCCCTCTCCGTGAGCGCCTCGATCAATCCCGCGAAAGTCCACCTGCATGGAAAGTCGCGAGAGGCGCCTTTCCCCGCCCGCCCCCGCCGCCCCCGAAGAGTTGCGCGCCCGCCCCGACATCTCCGCGATCTCTCTGGCGCCGATGGCTTGCACGGAGAAACATTGACTGCGCAGCCCCCGAGCTCTCGCGCCCGCTGAACGCGCCTCGGTGGCTGCTCGATCATGACAGCGAGAGAGCGCCTGAAGCCCTTGCCCCCAGCGCATGCGAGCCCCCCCCCCTGGTGTTGGACACGGCCCCATCGGCGCGAGTTTGCCCGGGCCGTCGCCCGCTGCCCCGGCCATCTCGACCGCGCCTTCCAGCTGCCGACGGCAGCGTCGCCGGAGCGGCGCCGATGCTCAACGACGCGCGGCGCTGGCTCGGGGAGTCGCTCAGCTCGGACGCAGTCGCACAAAATAGTCAATCGATCCTGCTCGAGCCCACCCACTGGACAGGCAAGAGATGCGAACCCCTGCCCCGCGACCCCTCAACCAACCCACGCGGTTCGCAACGCCTGAGGGCCCGCGACGCTTGCGAGCGCCACCGCGCCCCATGGCGCGAAGCTAAATAACTTAGACAATCCGCTGGGTGGGAGTCACACAGCAGCGCAACGGGCACAGACGGCCATGAAACCCACCACGGGTCTTCGCCACGCGCGCCACCAATTATTCGAACGAGTCAGAGCACCGGCCGCGCCCAACGCCCATCGGGCCCATCCGCCCGCGCGCGAACTCCCCCTGCTCCGCCTGCGCATCCCTCGGCATCGCCTCTCCATCTCCGCCCGTGGCAACTCCTCCTTCGCGAGCGAAGCCTCGATCAGCACCTCGTCGAACCCGAGGAACGCCTCGGGCAAACGATCGCTCGACCGCAGCGCCTGCCGCGCGCGACAGACTCCACCCCGCCCCCTCTCTCGAGGGCGCAAGGCTTCTCGCGGGCCAGGGCGCCCAGCCCGTTGAGCCCCGCAGCCGCGAGGGCGCGGGCGCGCGCGCCCGACGGCGCCGCCCCCGCGCAGCCCGGCGCAGGAACGGCCGCCCCCGAAGCCCCCGCGGCGCCCCACAGCACCAGAACCTGCCCGCGTCGAGCCACCCATTGTCGAGCGCGCCGACGCGGCGCGCAATCTCGACGTTCGCGCCGCCGCCCCACGCGCGCCGCCGCCCGAGATGTCGCGCGCGCGGCCGCGCCGCCGCAGGGCGGCACAAAATCTGTGAGCATGTGAACTTCGGGTTCTCATTGGACCTCAGCCCCGACACCAGCTCGCGCTTGCCGACTCACTGCTGGAAGCCACCCACGGGCAACCCACGCGCGAGGACGCGCTGGCCCCCTAGACGATCGCACGCGCTTCCGAAGCCGAGCCTGATTGACGTGGCGCTCGCTGAGATCGTCAGCGAACTGAAAATTGCATGTTATCCAGCGGGGGGCGGGGCAAACTGTGTTTTCTCTACATCTACGCTGCGCAATCTAGGTGGCGCACTCAACGAGGCGCAATCCAAGCGGCGCAATGCGCGCGACGCGGCGCAATCTACGCGGCGCAAGCTACTCGGCGAAATCTACGCGGCGCAATGACATTCACTTGTGGTTGTCAGTCCGGGTGCTCGCGCAATCGCCCCACCCGCCCGCCCGAGACGCGGCTTGCAAAACCCGCGCGGCAGCGAATGCGACGACTGCGCGACCCCGCCTGGCGCATCTCTGCGGCCGCGCTAGCGCGCGCAAGCTCGCGCGCAGAGCGCCCAGGCAGTTTGGCGCAACTGGCGCGGCCGCGGCGGCGCTGGCCGACGAGGGCCTCTCCGCGCGCCTCGGCGCGGGTCGGCGACTCGGGCGGGCGCGGCGCCGCGACGACGTCGACGACAGCGGAAAAAAGATGCTGAGATTAGCGGCGACGGAGACGACCATGGCGACGACGACGGCGAGGCCAATGCGGCGTCGATGCTGGCCACGCCGGCGGCGATCATGATGCCCGCGCGTCAGCGAGAAAGGTTTTGCGCGCTCGACCGACGCGCGCGAGCGGCCCGCATGACATCAGTCGACAAGGGTGGCGCCCCCGCCCCCCCCCGCTCAGCGAGCGCGCAGACGCGTTCCATACTCTGGGTTTCTTGACAAGCGCCGGGCCCCCCCCCCGACGGAGGAACGACGCGCGCGCGCGTGGACTCTGTCGCGTTTTCCCAGGCGCTCTTCAATATCTACTGTTTTGATGCACGAGCGCGCGCGATATATACGATTTGCAGCGAACGAGGGGGGCGGCGAGGGCGCTGCCTGGGATGGCATGACTTCACATGCAAAATGAACGATGAGGCAGAATGACATGGAATGCGCAACGCCCCAGGGGGCAGGGGCGCATTCGCCCCGGAGACGAAGGGGCATAATCAATTTTGCACGGGGGAGAAAATCAAAGCGGCGCAATCCACCTTGCAGAACTCGAAGTTGCCAACTCCACTGCTCGCGCAGCCACCCCGCCCCACAACCTCCTCCCCCGCCCCGCCCCGCCCGCGAACTGATTTGCAAAAACCCGCGAGGCGGCGATTGCGATGACTGCGCTGCGCTGGCTGGCGCGACTCCGCGCCACGCTGGCGCGCGCAAAGCGCCCGCCTAGTTTGTCGCAGCCGACGCGGCCGCGGCGGCATTGACCGTCGGGGGCTTCCCAGCGCGTCTCACAGGCCGCGCCGGCGCGCGGGCGCTTCAGCGCGGGTCGGCGACTCGGGCTGGCGCGGCGCATTGATCATGGCGACGTCGAATACGGCGGTCAACATGGTGATATTGCCGACATCGGCGACGATGATGACGACGACGGCAATGCCAATGCGGGCGCAAATGCTGGCCACGCTGGCGACGACAACGATGCCCATGCGTCTGCGATGAAAGTTCAGGAAGGCATTCTACGCGCGCGCGGACGACGCGCGCGAGTGACCCGCGCAATGCAATTTGGCCAGGATCGCGACGCCCCCCCCAAAAAAAAAAAAAACGAGCGCGCAGGCCCACGCGGTCGAATTATCATATCTTATTTTTGATG